CCTACTGGTAGTCATGTTATGGATAACAAAAAGAACAAGTGCCAAGAGAAACTAAAAAAAAAACGAGAACATACAGACTAAATACATAAGAATCACACTTCTTGTGACATTTAAATCAAAAATTATTATTATTGAAATACACGCTATTAAAGGATTTTTTTAAATGTAAGATTTCATAGTTACAAATGTATTGACATTCAAATAATGTTGTTTTACTATAACAACGCAGAATAAGTAAATTCTGCATCCTAAGTTAAAAAGTTGTATGATGTATGTGAGCAGAGGAAAATAACAAGTCAGACATGATAAGAATTCTTATTTTTGCATGAGCAGGCTCTTCATCAAAGCGTGTAATCTCAAAAGGCAAAACTATCAGTATGATAAAATATTGATGGTATCTACTATTCCTGTTGCTGCTTGGTTGTTACATTTATTAAAAGACAAAACTTTAATGAGTAGAGTGAAATTGAATTTGCTTGCATTTGCTGCCATTGTTTGCATTAGATTTATCAATAGGATACACATTTAGTAAATCGGTAACACAGTTAACCCTACATAAAAGCAAACCGATAGTAATATATGATGCAATATTTTCATATTTTCCGGTTCAATATATGTCAAAAGTTAAAATATGTTCTCTGTAAAAATAATGCAAAATACAGGATGGTATACGGGCATATCATTTCATATTTATATATTTTTAGGCTTCATTGGTTGGATCTGTGATTTCTTTATTTTTCCAGTTAAATGCTGCATTTTATTATTTCAAATGTGTTTTTTTGTACTCTTCATACATTAAATAACCTGGGATCATTATTATTAAAAGAAAATGCTTCATTACCATTATATGCCTAAAAATATTTACTGTGCTGTTTGAGAATAATGCATAACTGATGCAGTAAGTGCTCATTTGTAATCACTGTTTACTGCTTGTTAATACTTCACAGATACAGAGCTATAGTGAAGCCTTTGGAGCTGCAATCATCAGATGCAGTATTGAAGACATGCGGTAAAGCTGCTTGTGTTTGGATAATTTCCATGTTACTGGCGACTCCAGAAGCAGTGTTCTCAGATCTGTATGAATTCAGCAGCCCAGACAACAACTCATCCTTTCAAGCTTGTGCCCCGTACCCTGTCTCTGAAAAAATATTACAAGAGGCTCATTCCTTGATGTGCTTCCTGGTGTTTTACATCGTACCGCTGTCAATCATTTCTGCCTACTATTTCCTCATCGCTAAAACACTCTACAAGAGCACATTTAACATGCCAGCTGAGGAGCACACTCATGCACGCAAGCAGGTTTGTTACTTTGATGACAACAATGTTTTTGAAAGTGTGGAATATGTACAAAGTATTTCCCAAAGTGGGGGAGGTATTCAACTGGAGGGACACATTTTTTCTTAAAGTGGACCTTTACCCATATCTGTAAAATAACAACAAACACACCTTTAGTAATGACAATCTACAAACACATACTTCTAGAAAATTGCCAGCTTTGTATTCTTTGCATACCTTATTTCTCTTTTTTTTCCCCCAGTCTTGACAGTGGCCATGTTAACTAAGGGCACTGGCTTTACTAGCTCTCCGTGTGACCACGTGTGACGTGTGACCATGCACATCATTTTAGGGGAGGAAAAATGCCTTTCCCTGAGATCTCATTAGATTACAGATGAGATTTCCCAGCAATGCTCTACTGATGTAATCTTCCCAGGATGCAACACTTTGACACATTACATCATTTGTTCCAGAACTGGACCAGGAAGTAGATGAACTCTATTTGTAAGGAAATTAAAAACAAGTTTGTTTAACTAATGAATGTAACATTATATTAAATCAGCATACAGAGCTGCATGTTGATTTGATTTTTAGTAAAAGGGGGCAAAGGTCCACTTTAAACTGACAATAAACTTAGGAGATAAATCTTAAAAATGCATTCAAGTTCCTTAACTATTATCAATACTGGACCACCATTTGTGTATCACTCGGCTGTAGATCCTCAAATCATCTCTGAATTCACGCTGACACTGTATTTTCATCTGGAGGGTGACTACTTTTGTTCCCCATGGTCCCTGTGTGTGTTGTAAAGTACTGCTCCAAGTTCACTCCTGTGATGGACTACAATCTCAAAACAAATGAGTAAACTAAACCTGAGATTATAGTGCATCATGGAGCGACCTTGGAGCGGTGGCTACTTTACAACACACACAAGGACCATGGGGAACAAAAGCAGCCACCCTCCAGAAGGACGGACAGTGTCAACACCAATTCAGAGATGATTTGAGGATGTACAGCTGAGTGAAATACAAATAAGGTGCAGTATTGTTAATATTTAAGGTATTTAAATGCATTTTTAAGATTTAACTCCTGCGTTTAGTGTCATTTTAAGGTAGTACTCAGTTCAGGTAAAACTGACACTTCATTATAGAATGGGTATTGGCAAGCTGACCCACATGCTGACTTCTAATAACTTCCATGAATTCTAGAGGTTAAATACATGTAATTGCACCAAAATCCCCAGTTTCGCCCAAGTTATTTCACCATTACAATGCTAAGAGGGTTATTCACAAAGCTGCCGAAGGCAGCCGAGTGAACGACCGACCCGAAGTGATGTGAGCCGAATGCTGTTCGGCTATTCACTTCAGGCTTGTACGGCTGATTTCAGCTGTACAATGGCTGAAATCAGCCATACATCGGATTGCTTCGGTTCGGCCGAACATGCTCAGCATGTTCGGCTGAGCCGAAGTGCAGAAGGAGTTCGACTCAGCTGATCTAACATCTGTATCGGCTGAGCCGAAACTCCGGCAGGCTACCGGCTGCCGTTCGGCCTATTCTCATAGGGGGCGAATGGCAGTGAGTGAATAGCGGCATTCAGCTCGGCTATTCTGCTCGATACCTCCGTGGAACCGAGCAGAAAAGAAAAACAGTGCAAAAAGTAGAAAAAAAAGTTGATTTTTTTTAAAAAGTAAATAAATGATAAATCTTAAAAAATAAATAAAGATTTTTTTTTAAAGTAAAAAAATAAGGACCATTAAAAAAAGAAAAGAAAAAACTAAATATCGTTGAAAAAATAAAAAATAAAAGATCATTGAAAACAGAAAACGAGAAATATAAAAAAAGGAAACAATTGGGCGGAGCTAGCAGTGATAGCTAGCTCCGCCCAACTGTTTCCTATTGGCTGGGACCTGCTAGAGCTTTGTGAATAACCCTCTAAGTGATAGTTGTATTCTTCCTTGCCGGATTTTTCATGACAAATAATAAAAAAAGTCCAAAAAACAGATTAATACACAGTAACATGACATATTTATGAACTGTTTTTGCTACAAAAGAATTTGTAAATTTGCACACCCAATGACTTGGTATCCCCACTTCTGCAGAGTAATCTTCCTGGGTTTGCAGTATGGTGAAGGTGTGTAAATAAAAAAACCAAATAATTCAGTAGCTGGTAAAACACAAAACATATACATTTATCTGAGTTTTTAGATGTATGAAAGGAATTTTACGTTAAGGAATGCAGATGCAAGACAGTAACATCTTCACTATGGCCTAATATTGTCCTACTGTTGTAGGACAATGCAGAAAATAAATCAACTGCAGGAAACGTGTACTAATTTGGTAGTTGACTTTTCACCCCAAAAGGCAGTAAGCCCCTACTAAACTTGACTGTTACCTTCAGAATCAGGGGTGAGGACACTGGGGGGGTCTAGTTATAATTCACATGGTTGTTCGCCATGAGAATATTTGTGAATGTTTGCTGTGTGTGAATTTGCCAAAATGAATGTTCTTTAGTTTTCATGTAATATTGCTTATGGCCACTGGATGGAACTAAAGGAGCATAGGAAATAAGTCATTATTTTCTTTAATCCTCAGCACCATCTCCTGGCCATAATGCAATATCACCAGATAAAAACCCTCTAAAAATGCATTTCATTGTAAAGAAAAAAATTAAAGAACATTTGCTTTGGCATGTATTCAAGCAGAACAATCATTCACATGCTTTCTTAGGGTGAATGGCAACTACAGTCCTTTCTCAGCCCACTGATATTATTCAGAACAGAAGACTGTACAGCAGTGCTGAGAACCTTGGTACATATAGTGAGCCTCACGTGTGGCCCACTAACAAACGTTGGATCCAGCACTAGAGCAAGCTAAAGTTTATTTCCACTTTTACAGTCAAATTTGAGAAACCGCCACTTTATGTTCATGTGTTCCAATTCACACAGCAGATCTAAAAGTACATGTTGGTAAATATCTGTAAAATATAGGTCAATGTAACTGGACATGCAGTATTTTTCTTGAAGACGTGTCACTGGTCATCCAACCAGCTTTCTCAATTCAGAATGACTTGTACCAAAATTCTCTGGGAATAAATATGGTGAATGTTGCTCCAATCTACATAATCTGTTAATCGCTACCTGTCACCACCTACGGCGTCGAGAGGAAGAACCCCAACTGCGGAACTTGGATGCACTGGTCTCCCACGCTGGATTAATGGGGCAATCAGTCTGGAACTCCTGGCGTCACTCTCAATCTAGTGCGGAGAGTTAGGAGTTGCTGACATCATGGGCCCGTATTTTGAAGGTGGTAAACTCGGTACACTTAATGAGTAGAGGGGAAGTATTACTTGATACCTCGCAGTGGATTGGTTAATGGCATACACAGCTCAGCAGTTAAAGCAGAATTGATACCCCCTAAGTTATGAGCACAATGTTCTCTGAAGTACGCACGGCAGAGCCCAATATCAAATAAAGCTACAGTCCACAGTAGTGATAACGCAAGTGCTAGGTTAGACTTATAGATTGTATCAATTGCAGTATAGGTATCAATGCTAGGATCATATATTCATTGCATATGAATAACATGTGGGTTTTCCATAACATAGTAGGGTACTTGCGGTTCCCAGTGGGGAAAAGAAGCAGTGGGTCCAAGGTGTGTGGAACGTCTGGCTGGAGGTGAGTAGTCCAGGCAGGGTTTGATGCAGGCTGGAGGATGAGTCCTCTGCAGGAGGCAGTGGGTCCCAGGTGTGTCAAACGTCCGTCCGGAGGTGAGTAGTCCAGGCAGGGTTTAATGCAGGTTGGAGGATGAGTCCTCTGCAGGGGTTACCGGCGTTCAGGGGTAGCAGGTGTGAGATCCAGAATAAGGGAACACCTTGCTATACCCCCAGAACCGGTTTTTAAAGCATTCGCGGAAGTACGGGTGGGAGGAGCCTCGCGCCGCTCACAGCACTTCCGCGTTCCACCGTGAAGCGCAGCGACGCCGCAGTTAGACGTCACTGCTCCGGCGTCGGCTGCACTCCACGCCGGAACGCACCGGCGATTCATCACACTACCAGGAGTTGATTGCATTTGCATAATTGGAGCTAGGAGGTGTTATTAACCTGTTTGTAAATATTTCTTACCCTTTTAGCTGTTTCTTTGGAGCAGGATTATACATAGGACTCCACAGACACATTCTAGTAGTTAGATTAGATACCAGTGAGCAGATAAGGGACAGACCGAGGGCATCAACATATAATGACTTGAGATCTTGAACTCTTTGTTAGGACAGACAGCCCTGCTCATCTAGTTTACAAGTAATAATAAAACCTGCCAGCAGAGTTACAGACACGGTTATTTAAGGCAAATACAACAGGCGGAACTAAGTAGGAATTTTCAATCCTGGATTTTTTTCAGCAAAGAGCAATTTTAAAAGGGAAGTCTCCATTTGTGTTTAAGTTATGCTATGTGAATGGGAACATGTAACAAATGTAAAGTAGGTGTTATCCTATTTTGGCTGCAGAAGTGGAAATTGACTTTAAGTCCTACACATCAACTATCAAAGAAAGGTCTGTAGACATGCTGCAATCATTTTTCTAAAATGTTTGGTGGGTAGGTATCCTATATGTAGAGATAAATGATTTTAGCCTGTGAGGCCACCATAATAGCCTCTCGCATCATTAAAGTGATTGACTATAGGAAAACCATGCCAGCTCAAGAGGACATGTATGTACACTTCTCTCAGGCTGGGGGTACATGTGTGATTTCTTGTAGGTCATTGACAACACTAAGATATTTTGAGATTGATCTCTTTGTATCATAATACTTTTAATGCTGCTATACAAGAGATTTTCTATTAGTATAATGGAGTAACCGATCTCCAATGATTGTATAGGGCCACAATTTAATTGTGTGGCAGACTCTTTTAGCAACTAATCCCCTTTCTCATCCTCCATAGACCTAAATAAGAGTAGGAGATGAATTGCTCGACAAATGCTCATCTAAGGCAGAGCTCCAGGCACGTAACTAAACACGCATATGAAATGCATACAAAGAATTTGTGTTTCTGCAGCACAACTGATTGGCTCCTTGTGCTGCTTCATCCTGTCCCAGTCTGAGCTCTGCAACATGGGGAATGCAAAAGGCTGATATCGAGTTAAATCAATATTCTTAAACTGGTCACATTTTAAAATATTTTTTATCATATATAAATGAATACAGAGATGCATTATTCTGTGTTATTTATATCTGCCAGGAGTTCGTCTTCAAGAGATTCCTGGGGGATTTTTTTCACTTTTACCCCCTTTTACCCTGAGGCACTGAACCTCTAACAATTTACCAAAATCCCCTACAATGGTCCTGAATTATGATTTTTGCACTAGGATATTCTAATTGGGAGGATACCACCTTTATGTTATCAGAAACTACACTAGTTTTGCTTCGGCTTTGAAATAAATATTTTTTTTCTTTCTTCTATTCTAGATTGAATCCCGAAAAAGAGTGGCAAAAACAGTACTCGTGTTTGTTGCTCTGTTTGCTTTCTGCTGGCTGCCTAACCATATCCTTTACTTGTATCGATCCTTCACCTACGACACTACAGTAAATTCCTCTGTGCTCCACCTCTCTGCCACCATTTTTGCCCGTATATTGGCATTCAGCAATTCCTGTGTGAACCCCTTTGCTCTGTACTGGCTCAGCAGAAGCTTTAGGCAGCATTTCAAAAAACAGATATACTGCTGCAAGATGCCTCCGCCACCCACCCATCCAAGCCCAACTCACAGCAGCACTACTGGAATCACAGCCATTAAAGGAAACATGCAGGTGTCTGAAATAAGCATTGGCCTATTAGGAGCCTATGACATGAAGAGAGAAACTGACATTGTTTAGTTATGTTAGAAAAGGAAAGAACTGACAAAAAGAGACTAGCTATATGTTCTTTATATGCAATGTCACTCGTGTTAATGGAAACCAGCAGCTGCTTTGCCACCCCTTCCTCAATAAAGATGACTCAAAAGAAACCAGCCACAATATTCCTATACTGCTGCAAGTGCCAACACACAGAAATGCTCAAAGCAGCATCAAATTCTCAAAGTGGTTCTAGATAGAGATGCTCATGTGAAGGACATCCATGACATGAGCTTGTGGAAATTGCTATAGAGAATGAGAGAAGGTTTACTGGAAAGGTGATAGTGTGGAGTTTACAAGCCATGTTTATGAAATATTGGTATCACAATTGGACTACTTTCTGCACAGTTCCAATAATCTAAAAAAAGACTTTGTACAGGCAAAACTGGGCAAGGTGTTGACTGGAATTTGTTTGCAAAGGTTTGGACAATGATGGAAGTTGAAGGCTTTTTTGTTCCCAGAAACATGGTGCACCATTGCAAGTGATCTTTGTTTTCCTACAGTACATGTAAACTGTGACGTTACCCTTCAAATAAACATTTAACCTCTTGCCGTCCGCCCGTAGTAGAAAAACGGACGGACGGCACTGCTGCATTGGCGGGTTGCCGTCGCCAGACGGCATTTTTTTTTCTGCTCGCGCGCGCCCCCTAGCGGGCACGCACAGGCAGAAAAGACCCGTCCAATGACCCTTAATATTTACTTACTTTAGAAACTCAATGAAGATATGGAATATTTGGGGGTTAACAACCATTAAGAAAGGTTATCTATTAATGTCCCTTATATGCATTTTAGGGGTAAGTACAGTCTTACGTTAAGATATACTCCTCCTTGCCCTCACTATGTAGACAGGCAAGGCCAATATACTCTATGGGAACATTAAGTGCATGTGTGGTAGTCAAGAGAATGCCAGATAGGCTACCAGCAGTATAGAACCGCCGTATGGATCTGAGGTCTGTTTTTCTTTCACTACTTTGATGGGGGGGGGGGGGGGAATTT